AAAACCATCGATATTTATCTATTTCACAGATACTGGCTACGGAAATGTTCATCAGCCACGACCAGGCGAACGGCACGGTAACGGTGGACGCAACAGCCGGTAACTTCGTGCACTTCGTGGTGAGCTACGAAACGTCGAACCTGGTCGTATCGTTCACAAGCCCCTCGGGAGTGACCAGCGCTTGTGGCAGTGACGGTTACTCGTTCGACTTCAAAAATAAGCTGTTCCACTATTCGAACTGGAAGGACGCGGTAAGAAACACGCACATACACGGGAGGAAAGGAGGGGGGGTCACTTGCGACCAGTTACTGTATGGCTTCGTTTAACGCAAAGTGTCCTGTAAACTTTCACGAAAATATGTCCCTGCATGTATTCTCCCGCTTTACACATGAACCTCGAGAGTTATCTTTCCATGCTTACACACATGTGACATCAAGCAGGTCGCTGAGACAAGTCTCCAGGACAGGCGACCTTGCACAAAATGACCTGTCGAGACAAGTGGTTGATTTTGTGATCTGTCATGGCACTCGCTTGGGTAAGAACATCCTGGAGAATTGGACGGATTCAGTGCGTGACAGATTCGCGCAAGGTTTGCCACGAAACTCACCAACTAGATCCAAGCTAAAGATATGACTGTTTCTGTCAAAACAGAGCTGATGTCATCCGAGCCTCGGCGCGTCTTCTAAGAACTCCACTGCAGTTAAACGGCAATAGTTGAACTTGTTCAATGTGACACAGTCTTTTAGTTTTTTTTTAATTATATTTGTTTCTAACTTCTGTATTGGTTTCTCCAGGTTTCGGTTCTTCCTGATTCTTCTCGTTAGCCATAAGCATAAGATGCCCTTCTGTTTTGTGATGTGCAAACTTCATGCATGTTTACGCTGTATAGCTGAAAAAGGATTATTGTAATCCCAGCCAAGCAGTTAACTTTCGTTCATCCATTCGTTCAACGGAGAGATGGGAAAAATAACTACATATTAGCTTCTACAACACCTCAGATTTTTCTAAACAAATGGCTTTGTGCATGCCTTGAATTGCATCACCATATTACGCCAGTGTCAATGTACCGTGGCTAATAATAAACCGGACGATGCTATGACGAAATACGTTCTATTCAACGCCATTGCGGCAGTGAAACCGCTGCACGAAAGGTCAGAACGACTGCGTAACGAAAAGGAGGTTAGCATCGCCAGCAAACTCCAAGATCCATGCATCCGTCACACACAGGGGAAAACTGTAGGGGTTTGGTCAAAACCTAGGCAAGCGAAACCCTTGTCTCAACTGCGAATGCCCTGAGCAACGAACTAGCCCCATACCGATTCGGCGCAACCAGCCGAGAATCGAATACTGGGTCGGTGACTTGGGAATGATATTTTCGTCCGGTCATGTCAAAATTAACGAGACGTAAAACCACCGCTGCCCGATTAAAGCGCCCCTTGTGGCTACAATTCGCAGTGACCCACCTGAGAGCTCATTATACAGTGTAATAGTCAGCACAAGGTGTTACGGCGATGTCCATGTTGACATCCATGAATAACCTTTTCTTCTACTATCC